ACAGCCAATCAATCGGCATGGCAAATGCAAAAGGCCTTAAGAAGGATCAAGTCTATAATTCCCCCCCATTGAATCCATCAATGGAATAGCCCTTTCTGATGCTGAAAAAGCAGAAGCATTTGCTGACACACCCGAGCGAGTCTTCACATTGAACCAAATGGAAAACGAGAATGTAGAGCAGATAGGGAAGTTGAGGTCAGACTGTCATCAATTTCGTCACCCCAGGTGAAATCACAAAACTAATAAATGGACTGAAGATCAAGAAAGCACCCGGTAACGATGGGGTCAAAAACAAGATGGTTAAGGAACTTCCTCCAAAAGCGTCAACAGCATTGGCAAAGAGCATCATTAAGAATAACTACTTTCCAAAGATCTGGAAAAAGTCCAATATTATGGTATTAAAGAAGCCAGGTGAAGATGCCAAGTCTCCTGACAGTTACCGACCAATAAGTCTCTTACCCACCTTAAGCGAGATCATTGAAAGAACGCTGAAGAAAAAACTGTCACAGAAAATAGAAAATATAAGACTTATTCCAGATATCCATTTTGGCTTCATGACAGGACACTTGGCTGAACAACAAACACTGCGCATAACAGAATACATCACAGAGGGTTTCAATAACAGAATGGTAACCGGAGCTGTAATGCTCGATGTGGAGAGAGCTGTGGCATTCAAGACTGATAGAAAAGATGAGAGCTTGGAATCTATCCCCTAAATGGTGCCAACTTATTCACCAGCTATCTCACAAACCGTGAGTTTGAAGTGAGGATAGGGAACCACTTATCTTCTACCAGAAGAATTGAGCCAGGAATACCCCAAGGTTCTGTGCTAGGACCCTTGCTCTACAGCCTCTTCATAAGCGACCTCCCAACCAACCCCCGCACAAAAACAGCACTATTTGCCGACGACACGGCTATAATGATAAGACAAAGAAACATCACAATGATGAGTAGATACCTTCAAAATCAAATGGATTCAATTCAGGAATGGTGCAACCTAAATAAGATCAAAATTAATGCAGCAAAAACGCAGGCAATAATATTCCAAAAAAGAAGATTGACACAAGGACCCAACATTATAATAGGAGATGAAATAATCCCATCGAGTAATGAGGTCAAATACTTAGGTCTCCACATGGACTTGAGGCTTACGTGGGGGTCTCACACCAGAAAGGCAATAACCAAGGCAAAAGCGGTAATTTACCAATTATACCCAATTTTGGGTAGAATGAGCTCCATGAGCTGCGCCATGGTATATGAGAAACTCAGACCTCCACAAGGACTTAAAATGGATTTCATTAAAAAAATTCATTCTGAATAAAGCAACATGCTAATATTGCAATTCACCCGAACGATGATCTTCGAAATCTGACGGCCTACGACCCAAGAGAAGAAAAGCAGCTACACAGTACCTACCACAAAAGGCATAAAAATCCGTTTAGAAGCATCCAGGAACAACTGCCCCCGGAATAGCTGCCGCAGGGAGGCACCGCTCAGCTAGGAAGTATCCACAACAACACCATCATCAAGAAATGACAAAGGTGTAAAAGAGTTCACCAAAAATGAGACACCGGTGGATAGTCCGTAACTGGAAGCAGGGCACAGTAGTCCAGCCCCTGCAGACGGTGTGGTCTTAGTGGAAATGCTCTTCACATTGCACTTCGTGAAAAGAGAAAGCCCCACACTACCCAGTTCACGTCGAACTGGGTGTGCATAAGGCGCATTTCCACACCTTACCAAAAAATAAATAAAATAGACTTTATCAAAGGCCTTCTATCTGGGAGTCAATGAAACAGACGTATACACTTTTATTGTATTCTCTACTTTTCTGTAGCAGTAGGTACTGTAGAAGCAAATAATGTTTCTCTAGTTCGTTATCCCTCTTAAGCCAAACAGCGCCTCATCTTCGCATTTTCGATATATTTTCTGTTTGATTATTTCCAAAAGTACTTTTAGCGTGTGACTCATTCAAATTGATCATCCCATATTCATTACAGGAATTAGGGTTGTAGAATAGTCTGAAGAGAGCATGAAAGCAGAGTTGATCAAGTGAGATCGCTATAGGAAAGAGGAAAGTAAGGGATCAGACGCCAGACAAGTTGAAGCAGCGTCTAGATCCAGCTAGGTTGCCTCGGAGATGCCAGATTCCGTACCCACCAGGTGTGAGCCCCTGCGGTTTTGTTGAGCTATCCTTAGCAACGATTAGCCTGTAAACCCACATGGCCAGTCGCTGGGCCCCGCTACCAACGTCCAGGTCTCACAGCTCCTCGAGGGAGTTTATACCTAACATCCTAAATTGGTTTACATGTCCCCTTTCGCACAACTCGAACATCCCACAGAACCAATTATGGATATCATTCTTTCATTCCTCGTAATATCAGATTTTGCAATCAGCTGAGTGAGCTTGATTTCTTTGGGCTATATGAACCATTTGCGAGGACTGTCACTGGCCTTTCTATATAAGTATACTAGTTTAAGAAAATGTCATAATATGTATAATTTTTTAAAGTTTATTTTCACTTTTATCTTACTTTGATGTTCACTTATTGTTTTTTCTTATGTAAATCTGGGACAAAACTTTCTTATTCACGAAGGTATCGCATAAAACCTGGCCTCATTTTAGATAGAATCTAATTCTCCAACTACTACAGACAGTAAAGTGAAATGATTTACGGACAACATATTAATGGTCGCTAATGCTCGAAATAAAAGGCAACAGATTATGAGCTGATCTCAAAACATTTAATAAGAGTATTACCTACTGCAATGTACAAAAAAAAAATCACTTGGCTTTTCAAAAAGAACCAAAATAGCATAAAATCACCAAAGAACATCCCCGTAGTAAAAAAAACTCAGAAAGAATGCATGAAAGTGACATAACAAAGAGCCCGAGTTGTCTTTTCGACAATGCAGATTCTTTATTCTCTATACACTAAACACACACACGTTCTGGAGGTAATTTTCTAATCTCTTTGAAACACGTCACTGCTCGAGCACGTGTCAGATGCACGTGGCTTTATCATGAGACACATACGAGAGGGCTCAGCGACAGCCTATGAAGTTTTTAGGACGGCGCCTTATGCGACATGGATATTATCCAACAAGAAATATCGAAAAAATGAAAATAGCTTTCAGATTCTTAGATTCTAAAATAATTTGTTTCAAGCAAGTCTCTGTTATGGATTTAGTTTGGTATATTGTAGGGTATTGTTTAATATAGGTAAGAGTTTGTATGAGCAGCGTCCCAAAAGTTTCCCTTGACAAATTTTATAAAGACATAAAACAAGAGTAAACTGACTTAATTTTAATTTGTTTCTTCAATCTTTTGCCGCGAGCAGAAATTATCCACTGAAAACCGCCCAAAAACAAAAAGGTATGCCCCTAATGACAATTTATAAGATTTGCGGTCTATTCTTTCTCTTTACCTGTTAATTAAAAAGGGCCCCCTCTGTCGCGACGCGTAGCAAAGAAATTTTAATGAAACAAATATTTGTTTGAGAAAAAGCGTAACAAAGACGGGAGAGAAATGTAAAGAAAGTCGAAAAGGAGTTTTGCTGGATTGCTCATAATTACGAAAACGTTCTCTAAGCAGTAAGTAACTGAAACGTCTAGAGAGAATTATGGCTAGGTTTCTAATTAATGAAAATGCATTCAAATAAATTTAACTTTATGATGTCATTTCCTTTCGAAAATTGGAGGGACATTTTGTCAAAAAGTCCTACCAAAATGCGATTCAGGTTAAGGGAAAGATTAACTCAAAATTTCCTCTAGTCGTCGCCGGAGCCAGCTAGAAAAGGGAAACAGGCGGCCCCCGATAAGGGCGCAAACACGAAATGCCAAGGAAATTACTGCGAGATCACGGATTGGATAACTGCCGCCTCCTGGATTTAGTTCAAATCATCTACCTCATTACCGTGAGGCAGGAGAGAAATATTAAATATAATAACTAAAGTATATTTGCGGAAGCTTTTAGTATTATGGTTGCACTGTTTTGTGTGTATTTGTATATGGAATTTGGTTTAATAAAGATGGATTATACGTGTAAACGGCGGAAATGGAGATGGAAGGAGGACTTGGTTGACATTATAGAAGTTTGATTTTTATAATGGAGAAATAATGCGTGATGTGTGAATAGTTTATTTGTTGTCATCTATAGCAATGTTCATAATAACGTTTTAATTGTTTTTTGATGTAGATAGATAGTTTCATTTCCAACAAAAGAAAGTGTTCACACTCTTTTTAATTATAATCATGAGAAAAAGTAGACTCAGAGCACAGTCAAGTGATGCCAATGAGCATAACAACTCAAATTCTCGTTGTGGAAACATCATATACTTTTACTTGAACATATACTTTGAAAAAGATATAGGATTTTTGATGGACTTTTTGAAGCTTCTGCACAAAATTGATCATATCATTATCTATATTCAACCAGTTTCATTCTTTTTTGTCCAGGATGACTAGTATGTAGTGATTTTAGAAGATGATTTCGAAATTTCAATGGAATGACTATTCTATTAGGTGCATAATTTTCAATATCCTTTTGGTTCGCTGGCGAAACATTCTGTATATATTGATCATCATTTTAAAAATTGATGAGTGGATTTTCGGGCTGTTCGGCCGTCGTCGATAAGGATCGATTCTCGACGTTTCGCCATCACAAGTGGATGGCATCTTCAAGAGATGTTGCTTGCTAAGCGACTGATTGAAGACTGTCGCTTGAAATTTCAGTTTGACTATCAACGAAAATTCTGGTGAAATATGTGTAAGTTGTGTAGAGGGTCTTAATGCCATTAGCTGTATGTTTATCATCTAAACCTGGGGTTGCTACTTCTTGATTGTCAGTATCTTCATATTCAGAGATAGAGTTGTTGTTTGTTGAATGTCAGCTAAATCTTCGAAGGACACTGTTCTTGAAGGTACAATGTTTTCTTCGTCATCAAACAAACCTTCAACAACTAGATTTGTAGCATCACTACCAGAATCCAAGGTGGATGTAATTACATTTGTAATACTACAGTTCTGTCAATTCCGCTGTCAACAGAGCTAGTAGAATCTTGGAAATAGGTTGTTAAGTAGGTGTATGTAGTGTAAAGGGTTTTGAATAGTAGGTCTACTTCATCGCCTTCTTCAGTTATAGCTTCAGTAACTTCTGGATTGGACTCGGTAACGTAACGAGTTTCAGTGGTGATTTCTTGAGGTAAAGTTGTATCTTGACTAGTGGTTGTTTCTTCTTCATCAGTTTTGTTTCCTAATGTGGTTGTTAAAGTTTCTTCCTTGTCAGCGGTGGTTATTTGGTCTGTAGTTGTTGGTAAAGGCTCAGTTGCTGGGGCTATAGTAGGTTCTGTAGTGGTTTCAACTACATTGCTAGCTTTTATGTTGCATACAATAGTTTGTAATGAATTTTGGCTACTGACTACTACGTTAGATTTTACGGAAGTACTAGTAGATTCTTCCAAAGGAATATAGAAAGTTGTTAGGTAAGTTAAAGTTGTGTAAGCGATTGTAGGTACGATTTGGTGGCCTTCAGTGCATTCTGGTTCGGTATTTTCATTGTCAGTAGAAGGTTTTTCAGTGTCGATTTCATTTTGAGCTACTGGCGGTGTAGTTAGAGCGTCAGTTGTAGTTGTACAAATTTCTTCAGTGGTGGTTACTTCTTGTTCCTCTCTCTTCCGTTGTAATTTCTACAGCTTTAGATGGTGCAGTGTCCACTTTCAAAGAAGGTTGAAATGAAAAATCATCATCCTCAAAGAAAATCGTTGTGGCGCCTCCAGTTGTTTTGACAGCTTGTCTAGTAATTTCTTCTTTACGTTCTTCGAAGAAAACTGTAGCAGGTTTTTTGGTGCTTTCTAATGGTTGAGTGGCGATAGCTTGGGCTTGTAGTGAAGCTAAAATTTTAGCTATATCTTCATCACTTGGTGTTGAGAACATTACTGGCTGAATTTCAGTCAGGGGTAAACAGCAGAAACTGTTTGTCGGGCTTTTGCTCTTTGGCAAGTACTGCAAATTTAGCTGCAAGATCAACTGGAACGTCTGGAGTTCGTCCTGATGGAGAAAACTAATTTCTTACTGTAAATGTTGGTGAATTATCCCATTCTTTTACTTTTGAGGGTTTGAAATTCAGTTCTGCAGGATTATCGTTGTGAATTATTAAGTTTTCGTGCGTTAAATCTTTTTGGGCATTGACTTTAACTACTTTTTTATCCAGAGAGAGTCTGTTGTTCGATTGGGCTTCATTGAGGATTTCAAAATTATTTTGAGGTAAGGACGACGGTGCGGATATAGCAAAATAATCTACAGTAGCTGTGAGGTTGCACTCTATCTATACACAATACCCTTCACTGGCAGGGCACTGTGAACTGTGACAGCAAGGTAACCCTGGTCAAAAGAGGCCTTATTGTCAAAAATCACTAAGAGGTTATTCCCATATCAAAAGGGAACCCTTTTTCACCAACCAGAGAAATCCTGTAATATCCAGCGCAATATACCATTGCAGAATATCCGTTGCAAGCCATAGATGTTGATTATGCAGGACCTTTTCCTAACAAGAAGTATGTTTTTATTGCTGTTGATGCTTACTTAAGGTACCCTATAGTAGTAGTTGACCCAACATCTTTCTCACATCTCCAGTCAATACTTCATACATGTTTACTACTATTGGTATTTCGAAGACTTTTAAATCAGACAATAATGGTCATCCTTTCAATGATTCTGAATTGACAACATTTTTAAATAGCTCTGTTATTCAGCATAAGAAAATAATACCATACTGGCCAGAAGCTAATGAAATTGCTGAGAGATTAAATTTCCCTTTTCGAACGTACCCTGTACATCCAACTTAATATTTGTGGGGGGGTTAACGCTGGCAATTCGCGGTGACTGCGTGCGGATTATCTGTAAACATGGAGCAGAGGTCGAACGAGCATTACGCGCTTATGAACGGCGACTTTTTTGTAACCGTTACAATATTCGACGTATACGTAATGCTCCGTCAAAAAAAAAATATTGAAATCAGAAGCCTCCCGGAAAGCAAAAGTCAATCAAAACGCCAGACAACATTGAGATTGTGCGACTCAAAATTCGAGGCGCTCAATTCGGAAACATGGCCGGGATGCTTCTGATTTACCAATTTACCACTGTACCACCTTGTGATTGCAAAAAAGGCCGCTCTGCAACGACATAGGAATCGTTCGATTTGGAAAACGCCTCGACCATAAACGCGCGTTGCTCGTTTGACCACTGCTCCATGTTAACTGATGATTCGCTTGCAGTCGCCGCAAATTACCAGCGCTAACCTCAACCTCCCCACAAACAATAAGTTGGATTAGTGAAAAGGAATAGCGGGAATAGGACAGCAAAAAAAAGACGTTGTTATTTATTCAGCGACGTTTCGACCGTGTATTTTGGTCTTCTTCAGGCTTCCAAGTATAACGTCATTGCTAAAAATTCCAAATACATTTAGGCGAATAGAGAACCGCTCTGCTGCTGGCGTGTTTGTTTGACTTGCGAGGATTTTTAATTTTTATTTTCAATTTTAAATTTTGACTGATTTCAACTGTAATGTCCAGCTTCGTGTTTTATGTGCCTATATTATGTATTTGGAATTTTTAGCAATGACGTTATATTTGGAAGCCTGAAGAAGACCAAAATATGTGGTCGAAACGTCGCTGCATAAATAACAACGTTTTTAAGCGCGTTCTAAAAGGCAAATTTACTCTGAGTAACCTCGTAGAAGCACGCCTCAATCGTTGAGACTGAGAAATCTCCATTATAATTGGTCTTCAACAGGAAAATGAACAATTTCTTACCTATGTTACCAACAATCTGACCGCATTACAGTGAAAGACTGATGAAAGAAATAAATTGAGACAGAAGAGATATGCTGATACTAGGAGAAAAACACAATACCGCACTTCTATGGAAGGAGATTCAGTGCTTTGCAAACAACCTAACATGAATAGTTCAACTCCATATTTTGACACTAAGCTTTATTCAGTGATAAAAATCATGGACTATCAAAGCGAAACGAGGCGAGAAAATAATTACAAGAAACTCTTCGTGTTTCCAGAAGTTTTTCCAGCCTGCTAGTTTGACGACATGTGATATGTTGTATCAGTACATACAAATAGCCAGAAAAATGAGAAAAAAAATTATTGGAAGTTTATCGATGATGGTGTCACCCCAGATTTAGCTAATTTACATATCAAAAAGTATGGGTGAATTCTCCACATGGTTCTCCAATCTGATAAACCAAGCAAGAGGATATTACATGATATCTACTATTAAATCGTGTGCCAGCTGGTAGTGACGTATGTGGTCAAGAGAGGCTTTTCGAATTATGGCTAGTAGGCTAACCAAAGGATTCTCCATAATTCAGTGGACTGATGCTGATTGTTCCTGGTAACTGGGTGAAACTTTTTTGAAGACTCTTGTATTTTATTTAGTATTGAATTTTACCAGCTGTGTTTTCACAATATAATATAATGTGCGGAGGTAATGGGTAGGTACCTATTGTTACCCCAAAAAGGTGTTTTGAGCTCCATGTGCCTTCTACGAAGATTATACTGGTTGCGAGACTTTTCAAAAGCATCTTCCATACGTTTCTCTACAAATTCCCTAACCTTCTCCAAAATATGTTCCTTATTACAACTTGAATGAGCAACATCACCCCCTGACAATTTTCTTGAGAATTCATCTCCATGCGTAACCGTCTCTTGCCCAAAATTTATAAAATATGGAGTTGCACTGGTGACCTCATATCTAATTCAGCTAGGCATTCATCCCATTTACGATGATTATCTTCCACATACGCCGATATCATACTTTTCATCACCCGTTCAGTTGGATTACATTGAGGTGTGTAATTAGGATTGTAAAATTTTTTGAAACCAAAAGATTAACACAAATTAGAAAACTCACAGCTACGATATTGAACACCGTTATCACATTTCTGAGTGCTGAGGAACACCAACGACCATGAAAATATTCTCCTTAATTATTTTCGTCACTGAAACAGCTGTGGCTCTTCTTAAAGGGAAAATAGACTAAATTCACTAAAACTATCAGTAACAACTAAAATATGTACTGATTCCCATGCGATGATTTCGGCAGAGGACCACAAAGATCAGTACTTATCACTTGCCAGCACTTATAAATAGGCATGGATTTACCCAACAACCCAGATGGTTTCTTTTGCTCCGGTTTAGTCCTAAGACAAGTCTTACATTTAAGAATGAATCGAGCAATATCAGATTTTATTCCAGACCAATAGAATAATCTCGCAATACGATGGAAAGTTTTCTACACCCCCAAGTGTCCAGCAGTTCTGTTATCATGAAATTTCTGGAGAATTTCTTCTCTACTTCCTTCCATACCATTAATTTCCAATGATCAGATTCATTCCTCAGCTCTGGAAAATCAGAGGCGACATATTTAAAAATTTTGGCATTCTCAACTCGCAATCTAGAATACTTCAACGGGAATTTCTCAATAAGGCCACGCATCTTCAAATACCATGGATCTTTGATATCATTAGCCTCAATATAACTACATTCCGCTTCTAAAGGCAAAGCTCTAGACAAGAACAACATTATCTTTTCCACGACGATGTGTCACCTCATAGTCAAATTGCTGCAGCCTTAATGTCCAACGACCTAATCTACCCTGCGGATCCCTAAGGTTGTCTAACCAGACAGTCCGCAATAACATAGAATTTTGAAAGTTCCAAATAGCATCTAAGTTTTCTATCGCCTATAAAACAGCAAGGCATTCTCGTTCAGTGCTAGAATAATTCCATTTTTGCTTTGACAAGGTCCTGGAAAGATAAGCGATGACATATTCTTCCCCATCAAACTTTTGGGTAAGCACTGCCCCAAGACCATATGCTGACGCATCGGTTTGAACATAAAAAGGATAGTCAAAATTTGGACAAGCCAAAATGGGTGCAGAAATAAGCGCATCCCTAATTTTAGAAAAAGAAACGTGTTCGAACGTCACTCCAAATGAACTTTTTGCCCTTATGAAGAAGTGATGTGAGAGGGGCAATAACATCTGAAAATTTATCTACAAATCGACGATACCAACTTATCATTCCAATGACTCTTCTGACTTCTCGCACAGATTTCGGACGAAGTAGATCCATAATAGCATCTACTTTACTTGGATCAACAGCAATTCCAGAACGATTAATAACATAACCCAAGAATTTGAGCTCTGGACGACAAAAATGACACTCTTCACGATTCAGGGTTAAATTGGCTATTTGAAGACGATTGAAAACTTTCTCCAGAACCTCAATATGTTTTTCTAAGGTAGGCGTGCTAATGATGATATCATCCAAATATTTTAAGATGTAGGGCTCCAATTCTGCATCAAAAAGATTATCGACCAAACGTTGAAATGTTGCAGGAGCATTATGGAGACCAAACGGCCTTCTAACAAATTGAAACAAGCTTTGGACGGCACAGTGAACGCTGTATATTGGCGAGAAGAAGGTTCAAGCTCGATTTGCCAATAAGCACTTTGAATATCCAATGATGACAAATATTTGGCACCTCCTAACTTACGTAATATATCTGCCATATATGGCAATGGGTAAGCATGCCGTTCACTAACGCAATTAATCTTACGAAAGTCAACACAAAATCTCCAAGTTTTGTCTTTTTCAGGTACCAACAATACTGGGAAAGACCAGGCACTTGTGGATTTCTCCACAGCTCCCAACTCAATCATTTTATTGAGTTTCGCAATAATGATCTCTTGCTTAAAAGGTGACACCGGATAATATCGTTGTTTGATAGGTTCCTTTTGAGTTTGGATCAGTGCACCCTCATCAACAAAATAATGATCTAGATCAGAAGAAGTTCACTTAAATTGAACCCAAATCGATCTAATCGTTGTTTCATGTTGTCAAAAAGAGTTGGGTTATGTAA